TTGGACTGGTCCGGACTGGTTTAGGCTGGGCTGGACTGGTTTGGACTGGTCTAAACTGGGCTGGACTGGTCTGGACTGGGCTAAACTGGTCTAAACTGGTTTAGGCTGGGCTGGACTGGTCTGGACTGGTTTAAACTGGGCTGGACTGGTCTGGACTGGGAATGGTGGAGCTGGGACTGGTTTAAACTGGTCTAAACTGGTTTAAACTGCTTTATACTGGTCTAAACTGGGAATGCTGGAGCTGTACTGGGCTGGACTGGTCTGGACTGGTCTAAACTGGTTTAGGCTGGGCTGGGCTGGGAATGCTGGGGCTGGGACTGGTCCAAACTGGTCCAAACTGGTCTGGACTGGTCTAAACTGGTTTAAGCTGGGCTGGACTGGTCTAAACTGGACTGGACTGGTCTGAACTGGTCTAAACTGGTTTGGACTGGGATGGACTGGTCCGAACTGGTTTGGACTGGTCTAAACTGGTCCGGACTGGGAATGCTGGGGCTGGGACTGGTCCTAAACTGGTCTGGACTGGGCTAAACTGGTTTGGACTGGTTTGAGCTGGTCTGGACTGGTTTAAGCTGGTCTGAACTGGTTTGGACTGGTCTAAACTGGTCCGGACTGGGTTGGACTGGTTTAAACTGGTCTAAACTGGGAATGCTGGGAAGGTTTAGGCTGGGCTGGGCTGGGAATGCTGGGGCTGGGACTGGTCCAAACTGGTCCAAACTGGTCTGGACTGGTCTAAACTGGTTTAAGCTGGGCTGGACTGGTCTAAACTGGACTGGACTGGTCTGAACTGGTCTAAACTGGTTTGGACTGGGATGGACTGGTCCGAACTGGTTTGGACTGGTCTAAACTGGTCCGGACTGGGAATGCTGGGGCTGGGACTGGTCCTAAACTGGTCTGGACTGGTCTAAACTGGTTTGGACTGGTTTGAGCTGGTCTGGACTGGTTTAAGCTGGTCTGAACTGGTTTGGACTGGTCTAAACTGGTCCGGACTGGGCTAAACTGGTTTAAGCTGGGCTTGACTGGTCTGAACTGGTCCGAACTGGGAATGCAGGGGCTGGAACTGGTCTAAACTGGTCTGGACTGGTTTGAGCTGGGCTGGACTGGGCTAAACTGGGAATACTGGGGTTGGGACTGGTCCTAAACTGGTTTGGACTGGTTTGGACTGGGCTGGACTGGGAATGCCCGGTCTAAACTGGTTTAAGCTGGGCTGCACTGGTCCTAAACTGGTCTGGACTGGTTAAAACTGAGCTTAAAGTTCCAAAATTGCCCAAAATCATTAAAATTGATCAAAATTGCCCAAAATCACAAAAATTTGACCCAAAATTTAAGGAACTTACCCCAAATCTTCTCAGGTGAGCTCAGCCCAGGTGAGGCTTTGCTAAAACCGAGTTTAAACCCAAAATCCACAAAATGAGCTTAAAGTGCCAAAATTGATAAAAATTGCCAAAAATCCCCAAAAATTTGACCCAAAATTTCAGAAACTTACCCCCAATCTCCTCAGGTGAGTCTAAACCAGGTGAGGCTTTGTTAAAACCGAGTTTAAACCCAAAATCCCCAAAATTCACCCCAAAACTGAGACAAAAGTTGAAAAAATCACCAAAAAATTACTAAAATTGTCAAAAATTGCCCAAAATCCCAAAAATTTGACCCAAAAATCACAAATTTTACTCCAAATTTCCTCAGGTGAGTCTAAACCAGGTGAGGCTTTGTTAAAACCGAGCTTAAACCCAAAATCCACAAAATTCAACACCAAAACGGAGCTTAAAGTGCCAAAATTGATCAAAATTGCCAAAAATCCCAAAAATTCACCCCAAAACTGAACCTAAAATACTAAAATCAGTCAAAATTGCCCAAAATCCCAAAAATTTGACCCAAAAATCACCAATTTTACCCCAAATTTCCTCAGGTGGGCTCAGCCCAGGTGAGGCTTTGTTAAAACCGAGTTTAAACCCAAAATCCCCAAAATTCACCCCAAAACTGAGCCTAAAGTTACAAAATTGCCCAAAATCACCAAAATTGCCAAAAATTGCCCAAAATCCCAAAAATTTGACCCAAAAAATCACAAAATTTGCCCCAAATCTTCTCAGGTGAGCTCAGCCCAGGTGAGGCTTTGTTAAAACCGAGTTTAAACCCAAAATCCCCAAAATTCAACCCAAAACTGAGCTTAAAGTACCAAAATCAGTCAAAATTGCCCAAAATCCCAAAAATTTGACCCAAAATTCACCAATTTTACCCCAAATCTCCTCAGGTGGACTCAGCCCAGGTGAGGCTTTGTTAAAACCGAGTTTAAACCCAAAATCCACGAAATTCAACCCAAAACTGAGCTTAAAGTACCAAAATCAGTCAAAATTGCAAAATTGCCCAAAATCCCCAAAATTCACCCCAAAACTGAGCTTAAAGTACCAAAATCAGCCAAAAAATCGCCAAAATTGTCAAAAATTGCCCAAAATCCCCAAAAATTCACCCCAAAATTTAAGGAACTTACCCCAAATCGTCTCAGGTGAGTCTAAACCAGGTGAGGCTTTGTTAGAACCGAGTTTAAACCCAAAATCCCCAAAATTCACCCCAAAACTGAGCTTAAAGTGCCAAAGTCAGCCCAAAAAATCGCCAAAATTGTCAAAAATTGCCCAAAATCCCAAAAATTTGACCCAAAATTCACCAATTTTACCCCAAATCTCCTCAGGTGGACTCAGCCCAGGTGAGGCTTTGTTAAAACCGAGTTTAAACCCAAAATCCACAAAATTCAGCCCAAAACTGAGCTTAAAGCTCCAAAATCAGCCAAAATTGCCCAAAATCCCCCAAATTTACCCCAAAATTTAAGGAACTTACCCCAAATCTCCTCAGGTGAGCTCAGCCCAGGTGAGGCTTTGTTAAAACCGAGCTTAAACCCAAAATCCCCAAAATTCACCCCAAAACTGAGCCTAAAGCTCCAAAATCAGCCCCAAAATTGCCAAAATTGCCAAAAATTGCCCAAAATCCCAAAAATTCACCCCAAAACTGAGCCTAAAGCTCTAAAATCAGCCCCAAAATTGCCAAAATTGCCGAAAATTGCCCAAAATCCCAAAAATTCCCCCCAAAATTTAAGGAACTTACCCCAAATCTCCTCAGGTGGACTCAGCCCAGGTGAGGCTTTGTTAAAACTGAGTTTAAACCCAAAATCCCCAAAATTCCCCCCAAAACTGAGCCTAAAGCTCTAAAATCAGCCCCAAAATTGCCAAAATTGCCGAAAATTGCCCAAAATCCCAAAAATTCCCCCCAAAATTTAAGGAACTTACCCCAAATCTCCTCAGGTGGACTCAGCCCAGGTGAGGCTTTGTTAAAACCGAGTTTAAACCCAAAATCCCCAAAATTCAACCCAAAACTGAGCTTAAAGTTCCAAAATCAGCCAAAATTGGTAAAATTGCCCAAAATCCCAAAAATTTGACCCAAAAATCACAAATTTTACCCCAAATCTCCTCAGGTGAAGTCAGAGCTGGTGAGGCTTTGTTAAAACCGAGTTTAAACCCAAAATCCCCAAAATTCAACCCAAAACTGAGCCCAGGGATGAGAAAATTAAAAAAAAACCCAAAAAAATCGCCCCAAAATTGCCCAAAATCGCCCAAATTTGCCCCAAATCTCACCTAGGGGGAGTGGGTGTGGCCTGGTGACGTCATGTTGAGGCTTTGTTAAAACCGAGTTTAAACCCAAAATCCCCAAAATTCAACCCAAAACTGAGCCCAGGGATGAGAAAATTAAAAAAAAACCCAAAAAAATCGCCCCAAAATTGCCCAAATTTGCCCCAAATCTCACCTAAGGGGGAGTGGGCGTGGCTTGATGACGTCATGGGTGACGTCACTCCCAGACAGGGCGGGGCCAATGGGAAACCGCCGGTTCCTTCTTTGTTGTTTTTTTGTGGTTTTTTGGGGGTTTCGGTTCTCACGGGGGGCGGGGCTGGGGATATGCTAATGAGGTGGGGTCGCTGAGGGGTTAGCCACGCCCACCGCGGGGTTTTCCCGCCATTTTCCGCCATCTTGGATTCCAGTTTTTGGATTTTTTCCAAATTTTTTGGGGGTTTTTTTGGTGGTTTTTTCCCAGATGTGGGCGTGGCCTATTTATGCTAATTAGGGGTTATTTCCACGCCCACTCCCCTCAGGAATTTCCCGCCATTTTTTTCACGGGGGTTGTCGGCCATCTTGGATCAGATTTCGGCCATTTTGGAGGCGGTGTCGGCCATTTTGAATGGGATTTTCCGCCATTTTGGGTCCATTTCCGCCATCTTGGATCCGCCATCTTGGACCCAAGGTCGGCCATCTTGAATCCGCCATTTTGGATCCAATTTCGGCCATCTTGGATCCGTTTTCGACCATTTGGGATCGGCCATTTTGGATCCAATGTCGGCCATTTTGGATCCGCCATATTGGATCCAGTGTCGGCCATTTTGAATCAGATTTTTTGGCCATCTTGAATCAAATTTTAGGGCAAAATTTGGGCATTTTTTGGGTGCCTTCCCTCCATTTTTTCCCCCGGTGTGGGCGTGGCCTAACCATGCAAATCAACCTCAGACCCCGCCCACTCCCCCAGCCTTTTCCTGCTGCTTTCCAGTGCAGTTTTCGGCCATCTTGGATCCATTTTCGGCCATCTTGGATCCGCCATTTTGGCTCCAATTTCGGCCACCTTGGATCCCCCATTTTGGCTTCAATTTTTTGGCCATTTTGGCTCCAATTTCTTTTATTTTGGGTACGATGTCAGCCATCTTGGATCGGCCATCTTGGCTCCAATTTCGGCCACTTTGGCTCCAATTTCTGCCATTTTGGATCCCATTTCGGCCATCTTGGATCAGATTTTCAGCCATCTTGGATCCATTTTCAGCCATCTTGGATCCAAATTGGGACCTTTTGGCTCCGATGTCGGCCATCTTGAATCGGCCATCTTGTCTCCGATTTCGGCCATCTTGGATCAGATTTTCGGCCATCTTGGATCCATTTTCAGCCATCTTGGATCCAAATTGGGACCTTTTGGCTCCGATGTCGGCCATCTTGAATCGGCCATCTTGTCTCCGATTTCGGCCATCTTGGATCAGATTTTCGGCCATCTTGGACCGAATTTTAAGGCAAAATTTGGGGTTTTTTTGGCTGTTTCTCCTCCGTTTTCGAGCGGGATTTTTTCCCCTTGGAGTGGGCGTGGCCTAACCATGCAAATCCCCCCTCCGCAGACCCCGCCCGCTCCCCCAGCGTCTTCCCGCTCCTCTCCTGCGGCGACCGCGAGGGCCAGGTGAGCTTCGGCTGCCTGGCCGACGGCTTCTTCCCGCAGCCGGCCCAGATCACCTGGGTGGGCGTGGCCTCGGGCGCCGCCCGGAACTTTCCGGAAGTCCAGACGGGCGTCGGCCGCTTCGGGCGGAGCTCCCAGGTGACGCTGAGCGCCGAGGAGGCCAAGAAGGGGAACTTCCGGTGCCAGGTGGAGCAAGGGGGGAAGAACGTGGAGCTGGAGATCCCGGATGGTGAGGACACACCTGGGGAAATTTTGGGATGAATTTTGGGAATCCGGGATGGATTTTTGGGAATCTGGGATGGAATTTTGGGGACACCTGGATGGATTTTGGGAATCCGGGATGGATTTTTGGGACACCTGGATGGATTTTGGGGACACCTGGAGGAGTTTTGGGGACACCTGGGTGGATTTTGGGGACACCTGGAGGAGTTTTGGGAATCCAGGATGGATTTTGGGACACCTGGAGGAGTTTTGGGGATCCAGGATGGATTTTTGGGAATCTGGGATGGAATTTTGGGACACCTGGATGAATTTTTGGGATACCTGGATGAATTTTGGGAATCCGGGATGGAATTTTGGGACACCTGGATGAATTGTGGGGACACCTGGGGACACCTGGATGGGATTTTTTGGGCCCAATTTGGTGAATTTTGGGGTCACCTGGACGGGATTTTTGACTCACCTGGACGGGATTTTTTGGGTCCATTCCAGTGAAATTTTTGGGTTACCTGGAAGGGATTTTTGGGCCCCTTTTAGTGAATTTTCAGGCTCACCTGGACGGGATTTTTTGGGCCAAATTTAATGAACTTTGGGCTCACCAGGACAGGATTTTTTGGGTCAATTCCAGTGAATTTTTGGGTCCATTTTAGTGAATTTTTGGGTCCATTCTGGCGAATTTCGGGCTCACCTGGATGGGATTTTTGACTCACCTGGACGGGATTTTTTGGGTCCATTTCAGTGAATTTTGGGCTCACCTGGGGGGATTTTTTGGCTCCACCTTGGTGAATTATTGGGCTCAATTTGGTGAATTTTTGGGCCCATTTTAGTGAATTTTTGACTCACCTGGACGGGATTTTTTGGGTCCATTCCAGTGAATTTTTGGGTCCATTCCAGTGAATTTTTGGGTCAATTAATTCCAGTGAATTTTTGGGCCCCTTCCAGTGAATTTTTGGGCTCACCTGGACGGGATTTTTTGGGTCCATTTCAGTGAATTTTTTGGGTTAATTCCAGTGAATTTTTGGGTCCATTCCAGTGAATTTTTGGGTCCATTCCGGCGAATTTCGGGCTCACCTGCACGGGATTTTTTGGCTCCACTTTGGTGAATTTTTGGGGTCACCTGGACAGGATTTTTTGGGTCCATTCCAGTGAATTTTTGGGTCCATTTCAGTGAATTTTTGGGTCACCTGGGTGGAATTTTTGTGGGTCAATTTCAGCGAATTTTGGGCTCACCTGGACGGGATTTTTAACTCACCTGGACGGGATTTTTAACTCACCTGGATGGGATTTTTTGGGTCCATTCCAGTGAATTTTTGGGCTCACCTGGACGGGACTTTTTGGGCCAAATTTAATGAACTTTGGGCTCACCTGGACGGGATTTTTTGGGTCCATTCTAGTGAATTTTTGGGTCCATTCCAGTGAATTTTTGGGACCATTCCAGTGAATTTTTGGGTCCATTTTGGCGCATTTCGGGCCTCACCTGGACGGGATTTTTTGGGTCAATTCCAGTGAATTTTTGGGTCCATTCCAGTGAATTTTTGGGTCCATTTTGGCGCATTTCGGGCCTCACCTGGACAGGATTTTTTGGGTCCATTTCAGTGAATTTTTGGGTCCATTTTGGTGAATTTTTGGCTCCATTTTGGCGAATTTCGGGCCTCACCTGTCCCCACCTGTCCCCACAGCCTGCCCTGACCACGCCCCCCCCGAGCTCTCGGTGTCCCTCCTGAGCGACCCCAACCAATCAGAGCCCGAGGTCCTTGGGGGGGGCTCCGCCGGGGCCCGCCTCACCTGGTTGGTCAACGGTGACGTCACCGAGATGGGGGAGGAGCCAAGCAGCTGCCAGGAGGGCGGGGCCGGCCAGGTGACGCTGAGCGGGCGGGCCAACGTCAGCCGGGAATTGTGGGAGCTGGGCGCCACCTTCACCTGCCGGGTGAGCCCCGCCCACCTGGCCACGCCCCTGCAGGCCAACATCAGCACCTTCTGCAAATGTGAGTGCGGGTTTTGGGGGGATTCGGGGGGGATTTGGGGGGATTTTG